TCTATGAGTCCTGGTATGGCACTGTGGGTTAATGCGCTATTCTGCAAAGCCATTTGAACTGCAAGGTCAGCGGTTCAAGCTCACCAGCTGCTCCTCAGAAATCCTATACAGGGTCACTATGGGTTGGAACAGACTTGACAGCAGTTAACAACAACAACATATATATTTATGGAGTCCTGGTGTGTTGCTGTGGGTTAATGCACTGTACTGCAAAATTGGTTTACTACACAAGGTCAGTGGTTCAAACTCACCAGTCACGCCTCAGAATCCCTATACAGGATCACTATGGGTCAGAACAGACTCAATGACACTTAACAGTATATATATATATATATATTGGAATCCTGGTGTAGCACTGTGGGTTAATGTTAATGAGTTGGACTGCAAAGTCAGTTTGAATGACAAAGTTGACAGTTTAAGTTTACCAGCCATTCTTCAGAGACCCTATACAGGATCACTATGGGTCAGAACCAACTTGGTGACATTTAACAACTATATATATGTATATGTATATGTATATGTATATATGTTGTTGTTAAATGTTGCTAATTTATATATATATATAGTTGCTAAGTGCTGTCAAGTTGCTCCAATTCATAGAAACCCTGTTTAGGGTTTCCAAGGAGCAGCTGGTGGGTTTGAACCACTGACTTGTGGTTCAGTCCAGTGCTGATCCTACAGCGCCACACCAGGAGTCCCTGTATATATATATTATATATGTAAAAGTCTCACTGTCCCTGAGTAAGTTCTGACTCCCAGCCCCCTGCAGGACCGGGTAGAACTGCTCCTGATTTTAGGTTTCCGAGATTGTGAACCTTTACAGGAACAGGCAGCCTCATTGTTCTCCCAATGAGTGACTGGTGGTCTTGAACCGCTGGCCCAACACTTAGCCCTCTGTGCTACCAGGGCCCTCCTGTGTTGTCTAGAAATCCTCACCATCTGGGATATAATATAGATCAAGAGTGATGTTAAAAAAAAAAAAGTCTGAAAATGCCACTTGAGTACTCTCTAGATCCAGTTAGCCCAATCTTCCCAGAATTCTCTCTGTAATTCTTAACTAGAAAAAGAGCATCTATATTTTCAGCCTATCATCCATATCTCTAATTTTCCTGGGCCAATTCTTTTGACCCACCAATTATATCAAACAACACTTTTCCTCCTCAATTAATTCACTAACCAAATTGATGAGACTTTTTTTTAATAGTCACAGAGACACATCTCAAATGAACATACTTGAGGGTGAGGAACAAGGTAGAAAGAAGCTAATCATAATCCCTGTTAACAAAGTGTCTTTGAAGCTGTCTCTTCCAACTACCGTTGTTCCATCTTTTGTGCTTTATACTTCAGAAATTAGCTTTTATCATAAAAACTAAATACAAATTTATAAAACTTGGTTAAAAGGAAAATAGACTTAGATTGTTCCCTATTCAGAACTGTGTGAGTTATTTAGTTACAAACCATTTTGAAAGTCTCATTAACCAAAAAAGTATTTCAGCTGCAGCCCAGCTCTGATAGTTAAGGTTTTATGACAACTTGACCAGGATTATCAGTGGTTTGACAGCTGAGATGCAGCTTCCCCCATGATGTAATTTAACGTGATAAACCAATAAGAGGATTAAGGGTGGAATGTTACTGTTGTTAAGTGCCGCTGAGTTAATTCCAAATCATAACTACATTGTATAGGGTTTCCAACGAGCAGCTGGAGGGCTTAAACTGCTGACCTGGAATTCAAATTGACCTTGTGGTCCAGTGCTTTAACCTACAGTGCCACACCTTTTATTTTACAAGAGATTTACAGTGAGAGACTTGAGCAGATTTCAAAGAGGCTAACTGAAAAGTCAGCAGTTCAAACCCACCAGCTGCTCCTTGAAAACCCTATACAGGGTCATTATGACAGTACTTAACAACAAAAACAACACTACCACCAAGATAGAAGAGCCAGGAGTGGAATGTGTCCTTTGGAACTGGGGTCCTGCACTGTGAGACTCCTAGATCCAGGGGAAGATGGATGCCAAGATGTATGAGATCTCCAAGGAATACCAGGCCTACAGATGCAGAGGGGAGACAAGGCCCTTTCCCCAGAGCTGACAAACAGAAACCTTCCCCAAGAGCTGACCCTCTGAATTTGGAATTCTAATCTTCTAAACTGCGAGAGAATACATTTTTGGATGTTAAAGCCGTCCATTTGTGGTATATCTGTTATGGGGGTGGTGGGTTCCCTTGTATAGGGTTTCCAAGGCTGTAAATCTTTACAAGAGCAGAAGCCTCATCTTTCTCTCGCAGAGCAGCTGGTAGATTCAAACTGCTGACCTTTTGATTA